ACAAACTTAAAATTGTAACCATCTGATTTTTTATGAATTACAAGTTTTATGCTTTCTTTTTTTCTTATTTATCTTCTTTCTTCTTTTTATTTCTTGTTTTGTATCTTTTATTATTTATCTCTATATCTCTATTTTTTTTTTATATATAAAATCTTTTTTTATTTTTTTGCTTTCTTACAAGAAGATGTTATCAGATTAGTGGTATTCTATTGTAAGGCAGCAGTCATATGAGCAGTTTACCTCTGTTTAGGGTAATACAACAGATTGCACTTAGATACCAATAAGGTGATTAGGTAATGCTAAACTTAAATATTAAAAAAATTCTTTGTAATCTGTATAGTTTTAAAAATTCTAATAAAGTACTAGTATAACTGTTTAAGTTAAAAAAAAAACAAATATATATATATATATATAATCTTAATTATACAAAAAAATACAAACTGATACTAAATAGTATAAATCTAAAATAAGTTTTTGTAATTATATAAATTTATAGAATTGAGAAAAACTTAGAAAGACTAATATAAAAAGATAATATAGATCTTTAATAGTACTATTGTAAAGGTTAAATCTAAGAAACAAATATCAAATATGAAGAAATTAACCTCAAGTAAAAGGTATTACCAACTAAGCTACTAAAAATCTTGAATTAGAGAAAAAAATATTAAATGTCAGAATCCTAATATATCAGAAACAAGTTATAGTTCTATCAAGCTATTTGGATTGAAAGTCTGATAACAAAACAAAGATATATTATAAATATTAGAAATATACTATAAAATTGATACTAAGATCTAGATAAACTTTACAAAGATAAACTCTATTAATGTCTTATAAAAAATGAGTAAATTAGTTAATAAGAGAACTTTTTGAATACTTTAAAATATGTAATGGCTTAACAGATGTATAAAAAGAGAGATCATAATTAGGTTAAACAACATTTAAATATATAAAAACTTGTGTACTATTTGTCAGATGTAGTATAAGAATTAAATGTTTAATTAGATAATCTTCTAATAGATTACAAGTATGATAACTAATATAGAACCTATAGATAAACTACTTAAATAAATAACCAAAAGCTATATGTGTGACTAGTTGCATACTCACCTTGTACAAGTTATATAATCATAATTAAAACACAATAAAGACAGTAGCTGCCAATAATCAACAGCCTTAGCAGAAGCAAAAAAAAATACATATATATTTAATTAATAGAAAATTAAAATTTTTAAAAATTTTCTCTATTATTATCATAAAAATCATGAGTTTACACCTTTTTGCAAACTGCTATAAGTCTAACTTTATGCATTAAATAAACTTATTAGCATCTAAAAATGCATTGAAATGGTAAAGTTGTTTTTATTTTATTTGAAATTTTTAAAAAAATGCTTAACGTTAAATTTGAATTTTTTATCAAAAACCTAAAATTGATTATCTTTTCTCTAAATTTCAAGTAAAATAAAAACAATTTTATCAGTTTAGTGTATGTTTAGAATATTGAACAAGTTTACTTAGTGCATGAAATTAGAATTAATTAATAAAATTCCGAGAATAATAAGATTTTATAGAATTTTATTAATAAAATTCTCAGAATTTTACTAATTAGTTCTAACTTTATGCACTACGTAAACTTGTTTAGCACAAAAACATACATATATATATATATTCGGACTCAAACTAGTTTGCAAACTTCGGACCAAACTTCTAATTGAGTCTGGTTTGAAGTTTGAAATTAGCAAAATTTAGAGTTTGAGTCCGGATCGGACCAAACTTACACGAACCGAACCTAGGAGCCATGTCCAATGTCCAATACCCTCTAGTCCAATGGATTGGACTGGACTGGACAAACGTCCAGGACCAATGTCCAGGCCCAACACTGAGAAAAAGGTATCAGAGAAATATTTTAAGATTGCTAAAGCTAAAGGCTGTTTTACTACACTATACTTAAACACTAACTGCTCAATTTTGGTAGATAAACTAAGTGATTCAAGATCTGTGCTTATATGTCTGGATCTGTTAATTGTTTGGATCGTAAATTTATTTAGCGTTAGAGAACCCTGTAATTGGTAATTTTTCGACATCAATTTTACAACAATGGGCTTGATGAAGGACATTATATGCCGTTTAATGCCACTTTACATAGCGTCGCCCAGAAACGATAGCAGCAAAATTTTTTGTTGGCTTACATGTGACTTTGAAAAATGACATTCGGACGCATTTTTGGAATTGGGGCAACATTAAAAGCCCCGAATTACTATTTGATTACATGACATATACGTCAACCGTATAACGCATCTATTAAACTGAACCCCAAAATCAATAAAACTAATATAATTATCACGTCAAACCCATCTCTTTTTCATCGTTAAAGTTTCTTTTTGCCGTCAAAATTCATTTCTTATAATATATTTATAGTTAAATGGTTGGACTAAGGATGGCTCCGAAATTCAAAGAGGAAATTAAAACAATAATTAATATAATCAAGTAATTTGGATCCATTCTTAGGCTAGACTCACGTTAAACGTCTATCATAACTACGTTATAAATTTAGAGTAAAAAGTCGCCCTAATGATTGCTGGTGAAGTTTATTTATGCTTAATCACTTTGACTTCGGTTTTGGCTTTTGTTTTGACTTTCACTTTGATTTTGTTTTGACTTTCACTTTGACTTCCATTTTAACTTCGTTTTGACTTCATTTTGACTTTGATCTCGAGAACCTTTATTGAATTCACAAAATAAAGAGCGTCATATTTTTAAATGTCAAAGCAACTCGTTTAAATTATAAAATATAATAACTTGATAATTAGTTATATCTAAAATTATATATAATTATTCAGTGTCTTACATTATTTGTGTTAATTTTGAGAGTATAATGAACTTTTTAATCGATTACTTAAAATAATTAAATCAAGTTTATACGTAGGTGGTTACATATTATATTTGTATTAATTTAGTTAATTGAGTGAGTATAAATAACTGTTATTAGATAGTGCTGCTCATATAATTTTCTTGTTAGTGGGCAAATTAAGACTAAGGCGTTTATGCAATATTGGAAAATTATGATTAACGAATTTAAAACCCAAACACTTTTGTCAGGAATTTGTGAAATGAAAAGTCAGAGATTTAGAACAGGAGAACATATTCAACTAAGTTTTTTAAGAAAAGGCTACTCAATTTCAGAATCGATCTGAACATTACACTTATCTAATTTTATTTTATTCGCGTTTATTCAGTTGAGTATAAGGATCTTGATCGTTCGTATTTTGCCTCGTATTTATTCGTGTTAATCTAACTAGTGAATATAAAAAATTTTAGTATTGACCCATTTTTTATTCGTGCTTACTTAGATATGCTTTAATCAATACATTAAAATTTGTGAATTCATAAATTTGTTATTTAATGTTAATTTGACTTGTAATCAATATGTTAAACAACTTTAATGGTATATAAAATTAAGATCAACTGTTTATTTTAATTATAGTTTGATTCATTTATTTGTTATAACTAAATAAATACATGTTATGTTCATTCAAAAAAAAAAAACATAAGTTAAGAGGTTGTCAAATCATTACCTTACAGTAAGTCTGTCCAATACCACCCATGGTCCAAGCTAACTTTGCTTTGAACATTTGTTAAGTGGCCGAAATGGTTGAAGCATTTCGGCCACATGTATAGTCCAAGCATCCCCATATAATGAACTATTTTCTAAACGATGTATGTCTTTAAGCACTGGTTTGATACAATCATCAAAACTGGAACCAAACCAATGAGAAAATGACTTTCGATCAGATCGTGACATGTTTCCAAGTTGCATATACACCTCTCAAGGAATGATAAACATTCCTGTAGGTCCCAAAATTATCATAAATAAATGTCTAAGAATATTTTAAATACGGGCATTGGCCGTGGAGGTGGCCTAATCGATGCCTTTTTGAAATATCTCGATATTTCAAACGACCATTAAAATTATATGACTTCTTCGACATAATAATTATAAGTTTGGGGCCCTGGTAAACCATATGTTGACGAATATCTTCTGGATCGACGAATGTTGAATCTCTTTTAACAATCCATAATTCTTTCCCACCACCGCGGGTATGTCGATCACTGTCAAATCGAAATTTTGATGTTGAAGGAGCCGATCAGCCTTTACTTTGTAAACTTTATTGACGTATGCAACATATAAATTGGGACTAGCTTTGGTACAAGACAAAATCATCCGCCTTGTATGTTACTAATCAAATACTAATATATAAATCAATTTGGCCTTAAAACTTCATAACTCACATTAACTTCCATTATTTCATGCTCTCCAAAAAGTGATTAATCTTGCCAAAATTCCTAGAGATAGTTCAGTGAAATTCTACTGAAAATGTTTTTAATTAGCAAAAGCCAATTTTAAAGAAAAATGGGATCTTTGCCTTGAAAATCACATCACGCCATTTCCTATCGCGATAATTCGGACAAAAACAAACCCCATGCTTACGAGCAAATCATCTTTTGCCTTTGTTGATTCAATAATCTTTTCAATGAACTATTGGCAAAAAATGATTTAAACACGGCCGACATTGGTTTGTTTTTGTCCGGATTATCACGTTTACTAATTCTGTAATTTCAATCAGAAAGCAAGACGTGACGATCAAAACAACGACTGTTTGTTTTGAAAATTCGTCTGAAAAAAAAAAATTCTTTGCTCAATTTTACTATAATACTGTCCACCCCAAGCCCTAACTGAGATGTCACATTTTAAACCAAAGGTGACATGTAAATTGGTACGAATAATCCTAGCCAATAGAAACTTGGGAGGAAACATCATAAAGTGATTTTCACTTTAACCTTTGCGTTACACCTGATCTCGAAATTTGATTGGGTGATCCTTCAATCGGCCAATAATTCTTAACATCAAAAATTTTTTTTGATAACATTCACGTGATCATAGATAAAAATTTTTTTTTCCCAAGTTTCCAGATGAATTTGTTCGTGAAAATACTAAAATAATGTTATCTTTTCTTCGACGAAATAATCTTCATTACAATACACTAACACATAAACGCATATATTTTTCTTTACTACGATTTCGGTATTATTCTTCAGTCTCTCAAGATACTGTCTCACCTTCGTCGACTGCAATTGTCCCCCCCGAAATTCCATCCTTTCAACGAGCTTTTAACCTTGATAAGCCTTTGGTGATCCTTCCACAGCCTAGTCAACTTAAAGATGACGGGAAAATTCTTCCCCACGTTTTTTCAGAAAATCTTGCTGTGTTGTATGCATGTTTAAAATTGGGTCAGATCGATCGTGCCAAAAGAATTTTAGAGCATTTAGAAAGTAAAGGCCCTATGGATATGAAACATCTTTTAGATATCAACTTGCACAACGCATTCATCGAAGCTTTTCTGGATGCACCTATTCCGGAATTTAATTTAGCATTCGCTTGGTTAGATAGGATGTATGATAGATGTCACATAAATCCTAATCTGATGACATTTGCCATCTTGGTTAAAGGATATTTAAGGTCAAATTTCTTAACTTTCGTGTTACAATTTTTTTTGTACCCAGGATACGCGTTTTTCTCGCGTTCGATGGATGTTTAATATTAAAAACTAAAATTTCTTGTTAATTATTATTAGAAAGAGCAAGGATTTTCAATGTACAACGATGCTTCAAGTTATAGTTTTTGAAATGGAAGATAAAGATTTTCGATTTGAACAATTGATAGAGAGTAATTTATTATCTGATGATGACACCCAAAAATTACTTGAGGTATATTTTGCAATTATTTCTGTTCCAGCAAATGTTCAGTCCAGTCTCATTCATTATATTCTTGGGCTACCTAGTCGTTGAATTCTGATAAAGAATCCAGTCTTTCAAAGCGACTTTTAAAACGGCTTGAAGTCGAAACAACAACCTCTTTGACTAAAGAACCCATTCCAACAAAGGTATTAAAATAATCATTTCGTACTTTCTATGCAGATTATTAAAATTAATTATCTAATATAAAACCGATGTGTCAGGCATTTGGTGTTAAACTTATGAAAAGTTCTCTTGAAGCTCTAAAAGAGAAAGGAACGGATCAATATAATCGTCAAACTAAACTGGAGGAAAACGCTTTACATGGTGCTATTGAGCGTTGGAAACATGATTATGAGCAAATGCGTAAACGTGGTGATGCTTTTGCTGGAATCCCTTCATTGAGGAAGGCCATGTGGGCTTGGCACGAAAAGCTAGTCCCTTTAATTGAAATGGAATTGAAAAAAAGCATAGAGAAGAACATTGATGAAGGTACGTTTGGACTAATATTAATTCGTGCCTAGTATTATATTATTTATTTTAAATTTAGTTTGCGATGTTTTAAGGTAGTGAATGCATCGATTCACAAACTGGAACATTCTTGCGATTGTTAAGTCCAGATAAACTCTCTGCCATTACGATATTGGAAATGTTGCGTCAAACTAGTGATAGTGAAGTTATAGAAGGAATGACGACAACTGCTGCCATTATGGCTATCGGTAAATCTGTGGAAAGTGAATATAATGCAGAACAATTGAAAAAGAAACAGAATCGTAAATTGGTATTAAGATTTCAACATAATTTAAGCTATTTGCATATATACATATATTGAACGTTGACCAGATTTCTGATTATTAAAAGTTTTACAAAGATTTAAATATTCATGAACTTTTTGCATCTGGAAAATTATTCAATATGGAAATTCGCCGATTTGCAAGAAAAATAGAAAAAGAAGATATTGAAACATCATGGAAACCAGATTGGGGATCAACAATAAGAGTTAAGGTGGGCATTATGGCCAAATTTGTTAAATATTCAACAATTATATTATTTATGATCTATTATCGATATTGCTCGTTTAGGTTGGTTCTTTCTTGGCCGCCAGCATGATTAAAATTGCTCAGATTACTGTCTCGACTACTGATGCAGCTGGTAAAATAATGTGAGAATTAAATTATTATTAACCAGCAGATTCATATGATTATGCATTTATTGTTGATGTGTTTTTCATTACCGGTTGATAATAGAAGCGAAGAGGCGCCTGCATTTTTTCATTCTTATGAATATAATAGAGGTAAAAAAATTGGGGTTATTAAACTCAACCCTCAGTTGATAAAGTGGCTTTCTAATGAGTCTATTAGAGATCATTTACATCCTCGCATGTTACCAATGTTGATTATTCCAAAGCCTTGGTTGACCTTCAACAGTGGTGGTTATCTGACATCTCCAAGTATGAAATATTTCAAATGCTTTATGACTCTTATTTTCATGTACATATGAATTATATTTTTTGAAATTTACATTTACTAGCTCTTGCCATGAGGATAAAGGATTGTCCTGAACAAGTTGCATATCTGAAAAAAGCTTCTGACAGCTCACATCTGGAGCATGTTTTTGCTGGCTTGGATGTCCTTGGTTCTACGTGTTGGGCTGTGAACAAGAGGGTGTACGAAGTTGTTCTGAAAATTTGGAATAGCGGTGAAGGTGTTCTTGACATTCCACCTGCCGATTTAAAACTAGAAATTCCTAAAAAACCTGAAGACTTTGATAGTAACGTAAAATCGAAAGTTCGTTGGATTAGAACATGCAGGGATATTAACAATAAAATACGAAATAACCATTCTTTAAGATGTATGGTAAATTATAAGGTGGAAATTGCTGGCGCTGTGAGTTTTTATTCTGTTTTTACTTTATTTTATGTATTTATTATTATTATTTTTTTTTACAAAAAAATTTCTTTTGTTTTATTAGTATCTTGAAGAATCAATGTACTTTCCTCACAGTTTGGATTTTCGTGGCCGTGCATACCCAATTCCGTCACATTTGAATCATATGGGTGATGACTTATGTCGCGGTTTATTAGTCTTTAAAGATGCAAAACCATTAGGCGAAAGTGGTTTAAGATGGCTTAAAATTCATTTGGCAAATTTATATGGAAATGACAAAGTTTCATTTAATGAACGAGAAGTGTTTGCTAACGAGAATATTGCCGAAATAATGGATTCTGCAGATTATCCTTTGAAAGGCAAACGATGGTGGCAAAAAGCCGAAGATCCATGGCAATGTTTAGCAGCATGCTTTGAATTAACTGATGCAATACGCTCACCATCTCCAGAAAAATATCTGTCACGTATTCCGGTACACCAGGATGGTACTTGCAATGGATTACAACATTATGCAGCCCTTGGTGGTGATCTTGAGGGAGCGTCTCAAGTAAATCTAGCACCATCTGATTCACCGTCTGATATATATACAGCTGTTGCTAAAAGGGTAAAAGAATTAATCAGAATTGATGCAGAGAAGGGTGATGAAAAAGCTTTAATATTACTTGATCACATTAATCGTAAAGTTGTTAAACAGACTGTTATGACAACCGTGTACGGTGTAACATTTATTGGAGCTCGGTTACAAATTGAAGCTCGGCTCAAAGAAATCGAAAGTATACCACAAGAACGACTTCATGAATTATCGCATTACGTTGCAAAATGTGTGTTTAGTTGCTTAGAGGAAATGTTTAAAGGAGCAAAAGCAATTCAAGAATGGTTAAGCGAAAGTGCTAAGTGGATTGCTAAAAGCTTGCCGCCTGAGCGCGTGTTAAAATCTGCTGAAGAGATTAAAAATGAAAATGATAATTTATCTGAAATAGAAGTTGGAGATAATATAAAACCTTTAAAGAAATTCATAGTTAAAATTCCGCCTAATAAATCAGCATCAGATCAAATGACTGCAGTGGTTTGGACGACTCCACTAGATTTGCCAATAGTTCAGCCATATCGAAGGCCAAACAAAAGGCAAGTCAAAACCTATCTGCAATCTATTAATATTATAGATTCGGAAACACCTAGTCCAGTAAATAGCATTAAACAGCGAGCAGCATTTCCACCAAATTTTATTCATTCACTTGATGCTACTCATATGCTTATGACTGCTCTTTCATGCAAAGAAAAAGGATTGACATTCGCCTCTGTACACGATAGTTATTGGTCTCATGCATGTGATGTGGAGATTATGAATAGTGTTATACGCGAACAATTTTTTCGACTTCATAGTCAACCAATAATGGAAAATCTTCGAAAGGAATTTATTGAACGTTATAAAGGGTATAAAGTTCCAGTTAAAGTGTTACGAAAAGATTTAGAAAGGCTAAAATTAGAAAAGGTTGCGAAACTTAAATTGGACAATTCCAAGACAATACCACCCGTAGTAGTAGTAGATAATGGATACGAAGATACCATAAATTTGGACGATTTGATTAAAATGACACAGAAATCCCAATCAGAAGATATAAAATTAGAGTCGGAGGAAGAAGAACTAAAATTAAAGAAAAAAAGACAACCTTCGATGTATGTGTACACATGGGTAGATTTATCGTTTCCGGAATTACCGAAACGAGGAACTTTTGATATAGAATCAGTAAAAAATAGCCTATATTTTTTCAATTAATAAATATATTTTCTAATGAATTATCAAATAAAGCAATTTCAAGTAACTGTTAAAGGTTTGTTTCTTAACTCTTAAAGGTTATGTTGATTTGATGAATAAAAATTAAATATGCCAGATAGTTATATAATTTAAAAACAAAACCTTTTTATTTGTAGAACTAAATAAACTCTACAAAATAAAAAGCAAATGCTATAGTTTATTGAATGCTGCGAAGTTATATTATAATCAGAAACGTTTTTCGTTTAAGCTGTTTTATTACGTTAGATTAAAATAAACTTTTATTACTAACTGTTTAGTTTAAATAAGTACGAGCTCTTTAGTTGCAAGAAATAACATTTAACATTTAGATTTGGTTGGTTTTTGTGTGTTAACTGTAAACTTAAAGTTTTTGCTATATTGTATAAATTTTTTAATAATTTGAGTTTATTAATAATAAATATCGTATTTATCGTATCTATCAATTATTTACATAATATTTTTTATATAAATTTTTTTTGTAGTTAACATATTACAATATTAAAGTATTAGAGCGATGAATTTCTAATTTGATTGGTTAATTATCATGGGTGATCATGGGTAAATTACACGAATGATCAACATTCTTTACACGTCAACCAACCAATCATATTATGTTATTATTTATTTACATATAGGGACGACCACAGCAAAAGGTGGCAATGTGCAAAAAATTTTGATTCTGTAATTTTATAAAAATTATATGCCTATTACTCTAATTCTTCAAGAAATTGTATTTTTAAGAAAAAAATTTTTTTGACACATTGCCACCTTTTGCTCATTATAAACTTTCTTTTTTAAACCCAATTTTTTATAAAAATACTTTTGATAAATTATTATCATCATTACATTATTTTTTTCGATAAACAGGTAAATCTTGGTCCCTTTTTGCGGTCTTGGTACTGTCTGGAGTTAATCCACGATATACTCCAAAGATTATAATTAATAATTTGACTTATAGAAAGTTACTAATTTTGAATGAAAAATTGGTTCGCGCGCACTATAAGTTAAAATTATTAATATATCTTGAGCTCTGCACGGGAAACGCCCAGATAGATCAAGTATTAGTAATGAATCACTGATAGTTACGACTTGATTTTGATGAACTAATATTTTTTATTTATTTTAGGTATCGTAGCGCCACTAGCGAAATGATTAATTAGCAATTCGCATAAGAACGATAGTATTATTATATAGTAATTATAACGCAAATTACTATCATTAAGAAAATTTTATAAATATTTTATGAATTACTAAACCAATTTTAATAATTTTTTACTTTATATGTAGAAACGTTTTCTTTATATTTGTTACTATAAATTAAATGCATATTAGCTTAATAAAATAAATAGTTAACTATGGAGGAAACGAAAATTTCATAATTATAATAAATTTAATAATAATTTGCGCATATGAAATATTGTAATATAATATAATAGAATAAAGTATGTCCCTTGAGAAAAGGGTTATAAAAAAAACCCCCCTCAATTAATTTTATCCGGATTTGAGTTACCCCAGGTTCTATGAAAATGTCCAGAAATTTGCATATGTTTTGTTTCAAAAAGTGAGCATTTGCTAAAACGATAATGGAACGATAATTCGAAGAATTACGGAATACGTTTTTCAAAAAAAATTTTTATAGGGCATCGCAAAAATAATTTCGTCAAACATCATTAATATAAAACCCCCGGGCCTTAAATGTAATAGTTATCCTTTCAATCAGTATAGATTAAAATTTAAATGTAAACATTATAACGATATATGCGTCAAGAATAGCATTCTGCACGAAATTAGTGTTTGGCGCCGGCTCTGAAACCCGGGTTTAACATATGAAAAATAAAACCGGCTCCTGATCTAATCAATTGTTGATACCATGGTTATTAATTGCATCTGCTTTTGTTGTGCCGATAGGGAAAGATGTCATATTGGATGCTATGCCAGTAAACCGTCCTAGATTGTCAGTGAAATAATACGGATCTTTTATCATTCATTGCAGAAATTTTCAGGTGACTTTAATGCCAGGTATGAAATGAGTGCCACCGAGTTAAAGACTAACAAGAAAATGACAGCAATTAAACTTTATTTGAATAAGTGATACAGAAAGCTCTATTCGAAAACTTTTATTATGGCATTAATATGGAATGTCAATAAATTTAAAATTATCGCAACGATAATCGTACTATAATGCGTAAGTATTTGAATGTAGTGTGACCCAGTTAATGTAATTACTGATTATATTCTGTATTTCTATGTATACTGATACGTTACGTATAACTGCATAATATAAATATCGTAATCCTGACCCTAACTCAAAAACTTGGACACAGATCAAGTGCAACGTAACACGGTCAGGAATTTTATTGCTTTGATAAAAAGTTTTCCGTGAGCCATTTAATTTTGTCTGCGCCGTAAGCCTTGCACAGATTTCCTGTCTGCTACGGGCGGACTTGTGACTCGAATTTTAAGGGGCCGTGTCTTTAGGCGTAGAGTGTCCAAAAATTCGCAGTGAAGAATCTGCTCACATAATTTTGCGTTTGGTGCAGTTTTTCCTGCTGCTTTATTGGTAGGCAAAGAAGGCTATTATTGTGATAAATCTTTTTTGTTTGATCTTTCTCCTTTAAAATATTATTTATACAGCAGAATCTGCAATTTATCAATTATCGTAGTAATTGGAAGTTAGAGCAGTATAATCCTGGATACTTTTATTGGATGATGCTTCATTCATATTCCTAACTTAATTATGATGTTCGGACTTCAATCAAAAATATTCCGTAAACACAGTTTTACGCCATTTTTATTTTGTCGATTAATCTGATCACTGTCATACGTATGTATACAGGCGGAATTTTATTTCCGTTTTATACGGAAGGCTAAGAACATTAGCTGAACCTGCTTACGAAGTTTCCTTAAAATTTTACCTCAAAAAAAACAAAAAAAAAAAAGAATGCAATCTGGAGAATTTACCACAAGTCCTATCCTTACTAGATCTAAGAAAAGAAATGAGGTTACAAATAAGCGAGAGAGAGCTATAATTGATGCACTTGCTAGAATTGATCGCTCAAAGGAAGTTGACCTTTGTTACGTTTTAGACTGCACCGGTTGGTATCTTTTTAAATCATTTTTACTATTTTTACCTTCAGATTCTTTATTTACTCTTGGTTATCATGTAATTTTATTTAGGATCTATGGAAGGTCATATTGCTGCTGCTAAAGATTGTATTTTACAGGTTATAAAACATATTAGGAATACAAACCCATGCATTAAAATTCGCATCGGTTTTTGTGGCTATCGCGACTATAATGATAACCCTAATATACAAATCTTTGATTTTACAAATTCTTTCGAAAAATTTCAGCGAAATTTGTCTAGAGTATTAGCTTTTGGTGGTGGTGATGATCCAGAAGATGTTCTTGGGGGTCTTAATGCTGCTGTAACTCGATTATCCTGGAATAATGGTACTAGAGTTCTCTTACATGTTGGTGATAATCCACCACATGGTCAACGTTTTAATAATTTTGGATTAGAAGACGATTATCCAAATGGTGATCCAAGCGGTTTAACTGCTGAAAGTGTATTAGGAAAATTGCGATCTGAAAGAATCCTTTATTTTTTTGGAAAAATTACGGAAAATACTAACGAAATGGTTCGAATATTTCGTAGTATAATTGGAGATTTTTCTGTATTTGATCTTGTAGGAGGTGATCCAATTCAATTAGTTAATAAGTTTATCAAGGCTACCACTTCGTCAATTATAACTTCTGTTTCACTAACAAGCACCCTTGGAAGTGTAACTAGTGGCGCATATTCTCGGCAAAAAATTAACATAGATCCTAATGTACCTAATTGGTCCCTTCTACCAGAGCTAGCAGGTATAACTTATTGTTATAGTACTCCTACCACTCTAAATGAACTTAAGGATCGGAGATTCTTTAGAAAAGATAAACTCTTTTCTAGAAATTACTGTTTCAAGATTGCTCCGAATCCATTTGCTTCTGGCGTTGAAAAATGTGCTTATTTTGCCCTTAATATTAATAACGTTTCATTTCTATCCGAAAAAATGGTGATGAAAAACTACATTCAAAATACTTCAACTGATATTTTTGAAAAATATCTTGAAGCTGTAGAAGTCTCTACTGTGGCTAATCATCTTTCCAAAAAATTTAATTCAATTGTTAGAAAAAAAAATATTCCTTTTGTAAATTTTCTTCGTGCAAGCCTTGTGCGTGTTGTCATTAATAGCAGAACTTATTATTATATTCTAGAAAAGGAATTTCGTAATGGAGAATTTAAGCGATTCAATACAAATAGTGGGATAATTACATTATCCCGTCCTACTCTTGAGGCATTTGCACATTTCACGTATGAACATACTAAAGGATTTTTAGTAGTATGTGATCTTCAAGGAATTGAACTTAATGATGAGTTTTTATTAACTGACCCGGCGATACACTGTGTTGATTCTTCAAGATTTGGACATACAAATTTAGGTCGTGAAGGAATCAATAGGTGTTTTTTGGCAAATCATAGGTGCAATCATGTTTGTAAAAAGTTGGGTTTAGCGCATGTAATAAGATAAACTTATTCAAAAGATTAATAATTGGTATAAATTTGAAAGTTTACAATTTTATAATACCAGTAGTGTGTTAACTGTATAAATTTATTGTCATGGTTAATACTGATATCGAAATTTAGGGTCTATATTTAAATTTACTAAACCTACCAAAGTCCAAATGTATTTTATTAATAGCTCTAATCCTAAATTTAACCTAACTATGTATAAAAAAAAAATCAAATTCACACCAAAAAATCTTAAAATTTTAGGTTAAAATGAGTTCAATTCTCAGAATCGACTAATCTCAAACATCAGTCGCGACATTTATTATTTAATAAAGTTTAATCTTTTTTTAATAATATTGGCTTTGAAACTTTCTGATCAAATTTTTTATTTTTATTAGGTTCTATATACTAACTCAAATCAAAATACATAATTTTTAATTAATATTACAGTACTAAAACGAAACAAAAACTTCGTAGAAAGACAATAAATGTATGCAAAAAAAGTTTATTATTTATATTTGGAGAATAGATATACGCATGTAAAGTGGGTAAATGTGATATTTATTGTTAATAAACCCAACTCATCACATTAAAGAATTGATAAAATATAACCCAAAAATCTTAACAATTAATTTACGGTTGACAAACACAAGCATACTACAATAACCGACCAAATTTAATATTAAGCCCGGATCTTTTACTACTAAAGAGCTTGCACCTACACAAATTAACAGTTAGAAATAAGTTTATTTAAATCTAACGTAATAAAATAGTTTTAGACGAAAACTTTTCCAGTTACCTTCACTATACAGTATAATTTGTTTGGTCCAATAAACGTAGGCATATTATATATTGTGTCATCTAAGTAAAGTTCATAGGGATACTGATTATTTTTGCATAGTAAATATAGACGTTCTATCGAAGCGAAAAATGGTTTTTGCGGTGATTTTTTATTGGTACTTTAAAGTATATAAATAAGTTACCTGGGTAATTGATTTACATCAGCCAATCAATCAATATTGTCTTTTCTTCTTTTCTGCCGTTGTTTTATTCGTTGTACACTTCTACATAGGTTCGGAGAAGTTAGGCTGTTTCGGTGGTTCCGGTCTAACCGGGTGAATTACTGATCAGTCGCACTTTCAACCTCTTATGTTTAGGTAGTTATTTTTCTCGTTGATTTTGGTCAAAACCAACGACCCTCGAAAAACTCGTAGTGCAAGTCCAACTATTGATGTAGCACTATTACGTGTGGGAGGGAGGGGCAATAGCAGCTAGGTTTTCTTGTATACATTTATTTTAGCGAGATGACTCGTGACTTTATTGATGATTTGGTACATCATCAATATCGTATTTTATCATTTCGAGATCTTTAAGAAAAGATCGGGAAATAAATGAATTTTTTTTAAAAAAATAATCAAAGATACTGTTAAAATCGACGCTTCCCTAATTCCTTTAGAGATTTAGTTGTTTTTTTTCCTAATTTTAAACTCCTTTGGGTCACATAATGCAAATTTCGTTTTGATAACTGATATGCGTTACTATTACTAACATTTAAATTTTTTTGAAAATTTTTTAGAAAGTATAATTTTAGTTATATATGTAGACATTATATTAAAGTTGTATAGATGTTATAAATTTAATTTTTTTTTTTTTAAGCAGTCATGTTAGTACTTTTTTAAGATTTTGAACATATCGGCTGATTTTGTTTTTTGGGCCTTTTTTATATAGATGTAAATCATTTTTTAAGGCCTTTTTTTGATCAA